TGAATACAGAAATTAAAATTTTTCTAATCTAATTTTTATAGTTCTATTAAGATTATAAATAATTTGAGGGTGATCAGAAATTAATGGAACACTTTTATTTTTTTCATAACTTAATCCGAAATTCTGATAAAATTATAAAACAAAAATGATTTGAAGAAATTAATTAAGATAATTAGGTAGTTGTTTTTTAAATTCTAGATAAGGGTAGCGAGCAATTAAAAATTTTAGCAAAAAATCGCTTTTTGGATATTTTTCAAAAATAAATTAAGGGATTTAATTCAAAATAGGGTTCAACTACTGCACAGTATGTTCCGGGCGGCTTATTTTCTGATTTTTTGTCCTAAATTTATGTATTTTTTCCTAAATTGGTAGAAATCTGGCTTCGGGACTTCCGAAATTTCAAAATTTTCTCGCGCGCTGAAAAACCACCACAACCACCGTCCCCGTGAAAACAGCCACCTGACCGTAAATGCTGAACTCTAATTCAAATTTAGAACTAATATCCTTGATCTTATGAAATTAAAAAGAAAATAATTGGGCCCTAAGTTTAGTGAATAGTTGACTGCGCGTGACTCTCCCAAAATATTTTTTCTAATTGAAGTTCCAAAATTTTTTTTTTGGAATTTGAATAACAAAATTTCAAAATAAATATTAATTTCGAAATGATGAAAACCCGCGCCCTATTGGCCCTCATAAATAAATAGGTATATCGTTATGGAATGTAAAGGTTAACAAAAAAAAGTTTAAAAAAATTAGGTAATATATTTATTAATTTTCCTAAAATGGATTTTTTACAAAAAAGAATAAGGCAATAAACTTAAAGGAAAGTAAAAATTATTAAACCGGTTATTTTAAAACTTTTGAGATTTCTATTTATAGAATATTTATAGAATAATTTTAATAATATTTCTGTTGTGGAATTTTCTTTAATATTTTAAATATTGCAAAAATGTTTACGAAAATATTTATTAGAAAATAATTAGGCGTTTCTGGACTAAATATAATTATTTACATCTAAAACACAAATAGGTAATATAATTAATTTGGAAAGAAAAATGTAGTTAGAAATTGCGGAAAAGCTTCTAAAATATAATTTGTAATTGGGTTGTCGATTCTGGTCCGAAACTAACCGAATCAAAGAATCGATGATTTTTCGGTTCGGATATCCGAAGATTTTCCAAGAACCGACAACCCTAATCTGTATTTAAAATTAAAAAAGAAAATAGAAAAAATAATATTTAATTTTAAAATAAGAATAAAATTTTTAAACATTTTTTAAGTTTATTTTTAATAAAAGAAAATTAATCAAAATTCAATTCAAAAATTTAAAAACAATTCTGACAGTCTTTAAATGTTATTTAATATTTATTTATGTTTGTTTGATAATAACCCGAATAACAAAAATTTAACAAAAATTATTTTTAAAGATTTAATCAAGTGTCATTTCCGACGAATTAAGAATAATTAAATTGAGTGTGAATTTCTTTTTGTTTAAGTCATTTTTAATTAAATTTTTAGAAAAAAACTCTTTTGATTTATAAATTAATTTAATTATTATTATTATTTTTTGTGTTATTTAAAGAACAAAAAATACTATAAAATAAAACCGGTTAAATTTTTATTGAGATTGAAAAATAAAAATTAAAAAAAAAATTTTCCTGAAAAGTTTTAAAATAATGTAAGGATGATTCACCTCGTTTAAAAGCTTATGCGGGGGTTAAATGATCTAAAAAAAGGGAGAAAGCATTAGTCGATGCCCCGGGAGCTCAATGGTGAGCACCAGTACGTGGTGAGCGACAGCGTCTACCAATAACTGACAGAAGGTTGCAGGTTCGAATCCTGCCCAGTGGCTCTTTTGCTAAACACTTTCTATAATTTCAACAAAAAAATTTGTCATTAGGAAGGCGATTGGTTTGTCACGTCAAATGACTTTGATTATTTTGGTATTTAATATTTTTCAACCCAAAAAAGTTTAAAAAAATTAATTTAAAAAATCTGTTTACGAAAATAAATTTACAAAACTTTTAAATAAATTATTTTAAGAAAATATTTATTTATAGAAACTTTAAAAATATATTTTTAAAAAATATAAATGGTTATTTTTAATTATCAGCTGCTTTTGCAGCAAGGGCACCAAATTGGCGCCTATCAAATGACTAAATTAAAAATAAACAAGTGATATTTTTTTCATTTTTGTTTTATTTTTAGTAGTAATTTGAAGGTTTTTTAATTAAAGTGATTGATTAATTGATAAAAATAAAAATTGGTTTCACAATTTTTTGGGTGCAAATAAATATTTAATGACAAATTATATTTAGAGTAATAAAATGTTAATTAAAATTATTTTTTTTTAATATTTGGATGAAATGAAATATTTTTTTAAATTTTTAAAATTTTTGACTATATTAGAAAATAAAAAAATTTTTACTAAAAATTTATTTATTATTTTTTTAACAATTTTATTTTCTAATTAATTTGGAGTAATTCAGATGATCGTTGTTTACTTTTAATTTTAAATTTTTTTGTTGAATTTTGCTGAAGAAAAAATTATCAATAACAATTTCGATCAAATTTATTTTTCGATGGAGTTAGTAACCGTTAATTCGAAATATTATTTAATTATTAAAACTTTAAAAAATAATGAGTAAGTAATTTATTTTTTTAATCATAATATGTAATTTTGAAAGAATTAATGTCAGTTTTTTTTCTAAACCTAAAATGAAACCCCTTTTTCTAGTAAAGTTTTACAATAAGTCTGTAAATAATTAGTGGATAATTTAATGTTTTGTAAAATTTCTTAAAAGCGATACCTCCTAAGCGATATTCACTATTCAAGATACGCCTTATTAAATAGTTTAAAGAAGGGAGCAGGCGCCCTGGTATGGTTCGATTCAGCTGGTCGAGCCGCGTCAAACCATATCAGGGCGCCACGGATTCGACAATTTTGAACAAAGTTATAGCTCGGCGGTACATTGGGCTCGCGGTGCATAGGGGTGTACCCTTTAAATAATATACCTAATTTCCTTCATTTAATTTATAAATTTTAATTGTTTTCCAAGTTTATTCATCCCAAAAGTACATATATTTATATTAATGTTTGTATAGACAATAATACTCTTTATTTCTCAATTTAATTATTTATTCAAGCATATAATGACCGGCCATTAACACCAATTAAAAGCCAACAAAATCTTTTTATTTTTTATAAAATATATCTCAACCATAAAATAATTATTTTTTTCGTTTATTTTTAACGGCTGACCAATTTTCGAGAACTTGTGCTGAAACAAAAGAAAAATAAAACAGAAAATGGCGCCAATCAGTCGCTATCGATATATTCCCTTCTCTCTCAATCCTTTTGACATTTTTCGTGATTTTTGTAATTATAATCAATTATACTGATTAAGAACATCCATCCCCCTTCTCTCTTACTTTTTTCCAATTAAATTAACGTCATTTAAAAAAAGAAAATTTATTTAATTTGTTTAGGGCCTTTTTTTAATTAAAAAGAAATATATATTACAATAAATAAATTAAATTAAAAAAAAAGTTTTTAATTGTAAGAAGAACATTTTACTTAAAGAAAAGATTATTTGGAAATAGAATAATTAGAAGAGTATACTAATCATCTGACAAACAAGGAAGTTTAGAATTAAGAATATTTTTTGTAATAAAATTGGAAATAAAAATACATAAACTACAAAGAATATAGTAAACTTATTTAAATATATTTAGTTAAAAAGTTGGTTGTAATTAGGGGTAAAAATAATTAAGGGTTGTAATCACTTATGTAGGTGATATACCGTAAATGCTCGAATAATTACTCTCAAATAATTGCCCACACTCAATTAACTACTCCATTTAGCGAGAGATTTAGACAATAATAACCTTGTGTAATTATTCGAGCATATACTATTGACAGAAATGGAGGGAAGCTTGATTAATTTCAAGTAGGTACAACATGGAATGTCACGAGTTATCCGAAACCCAACACACGAAACCCGACACTGGAAAATTTTTTGAGAACCTGGCCCGCCTTTTCTTACCCTTGACAGCCTTCGTAAGTCCAAAAAAAATAATAATTTTGTTTTTATATATTTTATTAATTTTTTCAAAATTAAATACTTTCAAAATTCCAAAATTATTTATTTATTAGTAATACTAATTCCAACAAAAAAATTTTTTCATATATCGCACCCATTCGGTGTAAATATTGTAATAAAAGTTTTTGCTCAAGTTTGAATAAAATATTATAAAATATATAAACGTCAGTCACACCCAAAATTTTGTGTAAAAATTACTATAAAATTTGGCCAATATTTACGGAATTCAAATATCTAAAGAATGTTAATAATTTTTATTTTTTTATTATTAACACATAGGTAAATATTAATTAATATAGGTAGGTATATAAATTATTTACCTATAAATTTTTAATTGGCATCAAGAAGTTTTTTAATAAGAAAAGAAAAAAAATTATAAAAATTTAAACGTCTAAAACTCATTTTAAATAAATTGGAATTAATAAAATTATTTTAAATTTCAATTTTTTAATTACTTAAATTTACTATAATAAAATTTTATTAGAAATAAAATTAATTTGTCTAGCCGACATCGTTTTGTGTTTGTATCTCATTTATTTGTATATTTTTGCTTATAAATATGTATTATACTTACTATTTGGGGTGAAATTTAAAAATTATTTCGATTATTGTAGACATGAGATATTTAAATTTATGAGCGGATTGAAAGTGCTATGATTAGAGAGATCCGAAATCTTGTGGTCTTATGACTCGAAACTTGAATAAAGGTATATACTATATTTATTACAAAACACAAATTACAACCAATACAAACAACAAATGAAAATAAATATATTTAACATTTGTAAATATCGAATAAGGTTTTTCCTTTTTATATTTCTTTACAATATTCTAGACAAAACTGGCAACATCTAGGCAAAGCAAATAGCATCCTATCATTATCCAATCCGAAGACCATCAGCATTTGAACGTTCCCACACTTGCCAATAAGTTCTCCTCACTAAAATTTTAAAGAGAATTTTATATTATAATTTCTCTCTCTCGCTACCTCTGGCAGACTCTGGCGGTTTTAACGTCGTCATACTCATTGTCCCAGGCCCGTCGACGAGCAGGTGACAAACCAAGAGCCGTATTAGTCTCCGAATTGCTGATGGCAGTAGTGACTCCAGACTCTCCTCGAGGAGGCGAACGAGAACGGGCAGAACGCGTAGAGAGCAAATCTGTTTTTTTTAAAAAGATTATTTAAAATTTTGATGGTTGAGTGTCAACACAAACCATTCGGCAACTCATCCACGAACGATGCTTGCTCGCTGGCATCTGTCTGAAAAGAAAAAAATAAACATTTTTCTAAGACAATATTCAAAATTAAACACACCTCTCCCCCTGTGTTGGTCTCCCCACTTTGCTCACGCCCTCCGCTGGTACTTCCCGAACGACTGCTGCTCCTTCTAGTTGACCCCGAAGTTCTGCCAGTACCCGATTCATTAGATTGATGCACACTCGTGTCACTTCTCTCACTCGATGCTACGTCACTGCGGATGCTTTCTTCGTTGTTGTCCTCCTCTTCCTCCCCTCCTTGTCCCACCTCCTCCTCTTCTCGGTCACCGCGCATCTGCTCAATTTGGTCGTCGGAATCGTTTAGGACTAACTGAAAATTTAAAAAATAATTTTACAAGTGGGGATAAACAAATAAAGAAAAAAGAAAAGATTTACATTTCTGGCCATTTGAACAGCAGGACGAAGCAGAGAATTGAAGAGAGAATCCATGCACTAGAAACTTAATGTTGTTTAGATGTTGGGTTTAAATTAAACTTTCAAGTTTTCCTTTTTATACCAAAAATTTTAATTTCTATAATCCCTCCAAAATATTCTATTAAAGCATTTTATTAAGATAACCTTCAACCTATAAATTCCGTCCAATCAAATCCTATCTGTAGAATTTCAATTATAGTACAATACTAAGGCCGTTTACCACCCCTAATTTAAAACTTTTAAGAGAGGAATTTAAAAAACAAATTAGAATTCTTTATTAATCTCAAACAAAAAGAAATATAAAATATTTGTATAGGAATGACAAAAAAACAATTTTTTAATTAATTTATTTTTATCCTATTTCTTTAGCTGCTTGTTCATATTGCCATTGTGCTACTTTCCCCGTAACCATCATTCCAAGTGTTACAATAACCTTTAAAAAAGTTTTTTTCTTTAAATATTTCCTCTTTTACCGTTGTAAATGCAAAAACTATAAGAAATAAACGATCCAATATTGTAGCAAGAAATTCCCATTCAAGAGAGCATTGTCTCTTTACCTTCATTGCATTAACCTCCGCTGCTACAGAAGTTCTTTTCTTTCCTTTTTTGGATTTATTACCTCCAACTGTAGGAGGGCGACTTGCATCTCCAGGCAATTCTCCTAAATTTTTAGAGAATTCTTAAATCAATTTCTTGGCTAACAGAAAGGAGGAGTCCCCTCCCAGAAGGAGGACTCTTCCAGAAAGGAGAAGACCCTTCCTTCCCTCAATCTTTAATTTAATCTTCTCACTTTGTCTAGGACTAACAACTCCAAGTCCATCAATTGCATTTTCCCAATTAGTGACAGCTTCAGAACTTCGTCGAGAAGATATTATATTTAAATTAAGGTCTGTTTGTTGTTGTGAACGAATACTTGGTTGTGTTGTTCTATCAGACTTTATTTTAAAAATTATTAAAAATAATTTTTAAATTAAACTATACTTGATCACTTTTCCTACTAATTATTGAGCTAACTCTTAACCAATTCTTTTTGGCTCTGCCTATTGTAGTTGTTGAATTAATTGGTGAAACATTTCGATGCTGATGATCAATACCATTTAAATTGTTTGGACTAGGTGGAACTACAAATGAACCTATAAATGGAATAAAAATAAATAAATTGCGAGTTCAGTCTTTGTTCGGCCTTAAAACTTAGTCTTACTCATATTTTCTGACTAAAGCCCAAAAATAAAAAGGAAAATTTAAAAATAAAGGAGTATATGCTACTATAAGGCATATCAGTTACTAGAGCTGTCCAGGACCGAAAATTTTCCAAGACTCAAGACCAAGAGTCTTGGACATCTCTATCAGTTACTAGCTTAAAATACCTTAAATTATACCACCCTATATTCAATAATTAATTGCCCATTAAAATGGGAATCCTAAATTAAAATTTAAAAAGTTTTTACCTTCCAAAGCAAAAGAAGGTACTTTACTTCGATTGCCCTCTCTAATTGACTGCTTTAAACTACTTCTTAAAGATCTACTTAAACGACGATTTTCGATCTTTTCAAACCGTTCAATTGAAGCTCTTCTTCTAGCGGTAAGTGGATGATCGTTCATTTCTTCCCACAAAGTTAATAAAGGCGGGGGGACAGCCAACAAAAGGAATTTTGCAAGTTTAACAAAGAAAAGATGCCTAATCCATAAAGAGGGTAATTGGCCGTATTGACGCCTTCCTTGAATTGAAAGAATAACACTGGTAAGAAATGTACCTATTGAAATTATCTGAAAAAAGAAATAAAAAGTTGTTAAATTCAGTAAAAAATTTTTAGATATTTATCGAAAAAAAGATGTGTATGATAGTGTGGGTGGATAGTTATAGTAAATTGATAAATTAAAGCCTCAAGAATTCCCAATAAAAGCTGTAGACATTGCACTCCCTCCCTCCACACACCTCTCCTTCAACTCCCATCTAACAATTGAGATTTGAAGGGATCTCTTAAGCACTTATAAAAAAATTTTTGAATTAAAACTTACAACAATAATAGAAAGATAAAACCAAGCAATTAAAGGCACAAATTCACTCGTTGTTGGCATTTGGTCACTGACCTATTTTTTTAAAGTTTCTTAGTTACCGACCAATAAATATTTTTAAAAATTTTCCTTTTTCTTACCATAAGCATAAGAATAGACATTGCTAATAAAGTTGTAATTCCCAAATTTATTTTTTCTGTTCTGTCGTCTGCAGTTGATGCTGGGGTGAAAAACCCGGTAATGGCTACTAATGTAATTATTGAAGTTGGAAGAATTAAATTAATAACATAATATAAAGGTTTTCTTCTAATAACTATAGATGCTTCTAAAATCACCCAAGGCTCTGGACAGCAGGCATATTTGTACTTAAAAATTTTTAAATTGAGAAGAGATTCATGTATTAGGGGATATAAGAGGTCCAAACAGTAAGAGTTATTTCATAAAATCGTAAATGGGGTCTTGTATTGGTGCAATCCCTGGTCCAAATTAATTTACATCCGCCTTTAAAAACTTGCGATCATGACACAAATGTCTCGGCTAGAGTACTCTAAAAATATGTTTGAAAGAAACAGCTAAATAATCCAAGGCAAGATTTTTGGGAGTATCTACTAAATAATTTCAATATTTATTCAATTAACCTCGTGTCTAAAAATTCTAAAAGACATTACATCCCATTCTTCATTAGAAATAAATGATGCTAGATTGACTTCTGGATCAGCATAATAATCAAGTGCTGATTTGCTGTTAGTCCAAGAAGAAATTGTTAAAGTACAATTTTGCTGATCGTAGGGGAAATACCTGAAATTTAACGGATTTGTGTCTTTATGGTTGTGAGTTCATTCGATAATCCCCAGCAAAAAAAAGAATTTATCCTTTGGAGAAATGCATATTAATTGGTTAAGGAATTCGAATTTGATTTAAGCTTTTTTTGGTAATTAAAAAAATTAAATTTACCTAATATTTAACCGGCAAGTTACAGTATAAATAGCTGGATAAAGGAAAGACATATTCGACCCTCTTTCTCTCTCCCAAAAGAGGGAATCCGCCCTTATATTCATATATCTTTCTGTTTCTTCAGCCTTATATTAAATTAAATTTTATTTTTAAAATTAATTTAAATATACATTCATAACAACAGAATTGTATAAATAAGTATCGGGTATCCACAACACTTCATGAGGCAAAATTGTACTGTTAATCATATCGTAGTCCCTAAATACATAATTTAGGATTAAATAAAGGTGTTCTTATCTCTCTTATTTTCCCAAATTTTTATTAAAAAATATTTATTTTCCCATTTTTTAGCTACCTAGGATCCCAATGAAGCATTTCATCTTTCCATTTTTGTATCATCCAAACATTCATTTTAATATTTTGTGCAGGTTCATTAACATCAATAATTTGATATAAACTCATTGAAATATAAATTTTTAAAGGTTTGGAATGGTTATTTACTGGACGAACTCTTACATCTTTAAAAAATTTATTATTTAAACGTCATTCCGAAAATAAATAATAATTAAATTACCATATCGTCCAGGGGCCAGAATATCCCTAAAAAAGTTTGACTGATTAATAGAAAAAATAAATTTAGAATAATAGTAGTTCCAAAATACACTCATAGATAGGTATAATTTGTCACATTTTCCGAGGAATTGAAAAAGTTCTTTCAATTACATAATCCTAATTCCAGACCCCGATTCAAATTTTTTCCCAATGGAAATTCATTCTCCAAGTTTCGATTTCTCTTACCTCAAAATAAATTCCTACAATTTCTCACCCAAATTTCAAGATTGTAAAAAATGAGAAACATCCCCTAGGATGTAAGATTGGACAAAAAATTATTTTCTGATCGTAACCCCCAAATCATAATTTTTCTAAATTTCCCCTCACTTTGTAAGCCTCATCAAAGGAACAGTAGAAACTTGAAAATTATTATACGATTGTCTCGTATCATTCCTTATTTTAAATTTTCCTTCATGTCTTCCATTAATTTTATTTTCTTCTTCTTGTAAAGGAAAAAGAAATTCAACAGAAGAATAAATTTGTGGCCTATTTTTATTTTTTCTTTTATTAATTGTTGATTTATTTATTTGGTATTCATTTGAAGATGAGGAGGATATTGCTTCGTTTGAATTAATTTCTGAAGAATCTTTTCTGTTTGTTATTATTTGAGGTTTAGATTGGGAAGATTGTTGTGGCCATTTAAAGTTGCCGTCTGAATTTTAAATTTTATTTTCAAAGAAATTTTTTGAAATTAAAATTTCAGACCATTTTCAATTTCCTCGTATTGAGAAGAATTTACCCTTGAAGTAAAAATAACAAAAATAATTAGAAAAAATTGAATGAAAAAGAAGATAATTGAAGGCATATCTGTAATGAGAAATTAAAAAATTAATTTTGGAATAAATAAAAATAAATAGATAACAATTTTGGATAAATCCAATAAAAGAAAATAATTTTTAATTAAAATATTTTTAAATTAAAAAGCACGTGTAATATACAAATTAAAATATTTTAAAGTTATCTCGTGGAAAATAAAATTCTGGAAATTATTCTTGGCTATTTTAAAATTAAAAATTAATTTTCGAGAGAAAACTTTAAATAAAAATAGAGGCAAATTAAGTAGGTAAGAAAAAATAAATAAAAAGGAAAGATCAATGGCAAGCAAATAGTAGAAATGGCCACAAAGGAAAGAATTAAATAGGTAAAACTAATTTTAATAAAATAAAAGCAAATCTTAATTAATCTCACCCAACTTATGGAAGATAAATCTTGATATTATGGTAATAATTAATAAAAAAAAAAGAAAAATAAATTAGTAGAGAGGGGGGAAGGTCCTTGTATGTATTTTTAAAATATTGCTGTCCATTTAATTAATCTTCGCTGTAATTATCAAAAGCTGAATTTGGATTGCCCCAATGAAGAAACCCTTAAAATAATTGAATTTTATTAAAATATTTTTAAATTACCAATATAATTAATTCCAAGTGAGAGACAAAGAAATATTGAAACAAAAACAATAAAACAACAACGCTTAAAAATTAAAAAATTATTTTGAATTAAAGCTTAAATTATTGATAAATAATATTGAAAGAGTGTAGCAAAAGTTTAGCCACCGAGCAGGATTCAAACGCGGGGTGAGCGCATTGAGTTTTGCGTTGTTTGCGTTAAATTTTGGCCTTGCAGCGCGTTTTGCGTTATTTTTGACGAAATTAACGCAAAAATAAAACTAATCTGAGGACAAAAATTGAAGAGATCTACATGCTCGAAATCTACATGACCCGCATGTCCGCAAAGGCATTTCTGTAAAAAAATGCCTTTTTTGTAATTTTCCTAAAGAGGTTCCCGAACAATCAATACAAATTAAACATACAGAAGAATGTACATCTTCTGAAATACAGTATTTTTAGATGACGTTCTACAAATAAAATAAGTGAAGATTCTGATTCATGTTTGTTGATAACGTTTAGTTGGAAAATATCAGACAATTGTAAATTTGAAAAGCCTTCAGCGCATATTGTAAATAGAGATACATAACTTACTAAAAAATAAACTAGGATGCATAAAAATAATAATTTTTTAAATTCACATAAGCATAAGCTACTATAAAAACAGTTGAATTTTCAATACTAGCAACCCTTCAACAACTAGATCCAATTGTTACGTCGACAGCTGCTCTTCTCAACTTGGCCTTTGCACTCCAGACTTCACAACAATAATGGCACAACCGAAGCTGACCTTGGCGGAGGTGGATGGTCTCATCGAGCGCATTTTGCTAACGAACTCGCAGCGCTTCACGCAACTGGTTGGTTTTATTGTTCTTTTAAACTTGCGGGCAATAAAAAATTTCTAATTTTTTAAGGTCACCGCAAATGACATCAAAGCTCTGTGCAACAGCGCCATTGAAGTTCTTCGTGTTCAGCCGTCTCTTGTGGAGATCGATCCGCCGGTGGTCGTATGCGGTGACATCCACGGACAGTTTTCTGACTTGATGCGCATCTTCTCTCGAGTTGGCTTTCCACCGCTGAAGAACTTCCTCTTTCTCGGAGGTAAAGGACCAACCACATTTTTATTAACCTTTCTAACAAATTTTCGCAGATTACGTCGACCGCGGCCGTCAAAGCATCGAGACAGCTGTCCTGCTTCTGGCCTACAAGACAAGATACCCGGCAAATTTCTTCCTGTTGCGCGGCAACCATGAATGTAGCAACATCAACCGTGTCTATGGGTTCCTCGAGGAGATCCGCCGACGATTTCCACACGACACTCAATCGCTCTGGATAGCATTCAACAAGGCGTTCGCTTGGCTGCCGTTCACTGCTTTGGTTGGCGGGAGGGTCCTATGTAAGTAAATATATAATTGGGAAAAGGCATTCCCTAAATTTTTTCTTTAGGTATGCACGGCGGAATCTCGGATCGACTGCGAAGTTTGGACCAGTTGCGCTCTCTCCGTCGTCCAGTGCCCGACTTCGACGCGGCAAACCCAACAATTGAGCTCGACTTGCTCTGGGCCGATCCGGAAAATGGTGTTCAAGGCTGTGTGAGAAGTCCGCGGGGTGCAAGTGTCATGTTTGGCGAAGACGTTGTCGCTCGTATTTGCAAACAATTGGACATTGACTTGGTTGTGCGTGCTCATCAGGTACTACTAAAATTAACATTCGACAATTATCGCAGTAAATACATTTAATTCTTTTTCAGGTTGTGCAAGACGGTGCAGAGTTCTTCGCAAACAGGAAGCTCATCACGCTCTTCAGTGCGCCACACTACGCCGCCCAGTATAACAACGCCGGCGCAACTATGTTCATCGACGAGAACTTGCGCTGCTCGTTCCAAGTGTTCCAGCCGGCGGGTTAGTTGATGCTGTAAGATATAGTGATGTAGTGATAGTTATCTCCATTGTCGTCCCGATAATAAAAGTGATTGCTCCTTCCTATTCAGTTGTAATGTATTTTCTAATTTCCCAACATATGTATGTATTGTCACAAATTTGCTGTTTGTATATTTTTCGTTTTTCATATAAATAAATGATTGTTTTGAGTTTTTTTGTTCATTCAATATATGTAAAGCCAGATGCCGGGGCTTATATCAATTGTCCATATATTTGCTAGGCGCTTTCGCTCACCACATAGCCCTACCAATGAGCTTTACCCATTTTAAATAGTTTAACCCCCGCCTAAGAGTTTTAAATGCTGCTAGTTGAATCATCCTTAAAATATTCGTATGTTCCGGAAGGTGTTGCGTGCTATTTTAAATTCAGGAAAAAAATATGAATTTCCCATTGAGTTAATACTAAAAAGTAGAGTTGCAAAAAATAGAATATTTTGCTAGAAAAAGGCATGCACTTGTAGAAACTTCCAAATTTTTTCCGTAAAATAATTATATTTATGTATTTAATACCTCCAATATAGTAGCTAACCATTCATATTCTTTTTGTGCTAATTGTCGACTAAGTCGAAGATTTTCTTTAAAAATACTTTGCTATATTTTTAAGAATAAACCAAACCATTAAAAAGACCAACAGCTTGCCTAACTTCCATTTGAGCTGCTGCTGAACGATTTGGGACTATTGGGGTGACTAACTCACTTCCCTTAAATTTTTTGAAATTTTTTAAAATTTTTCCTTAAATTACTTGACTATCAATTTCATCATTTTGGTCAATCAAAGAAAGGCTAAAAGGTGCTAATGGTGGGGGATGTTGTCCTTTTCTTAATTGTTTTGATGAATGTCTTGAAATTGTTTGACTTCCTTCATCTACTGTGTTTCGTCTTATTCTTTGATGTTGATTTACTTTAAAAAATAAAATTTAAAATTTATTGATAATTGATAAACGTTATCAAAATGTGAGAGTCTGAGTTTGGTTTAGAAGATAAATTTTAAATGAAAAATTGAAAAATCTAAATGAAAGGAATGCCCGTTAATAGCTTTTGTGAGTTATCGACTTCTGAATAGAAACCGGCCAAATGCTAAAATCAAGTAAAATTTGATCCAAATTTTATTTTCAACGTCGAATATTTGTTTGTTCCAGTCTCTATTTTTGAATAAATTTATGATAAGAGACTCTCTTCTGATTTATAACAAAAACTCATCAATTTCCAAACAGAAAAATTTTTTTAAATAAATAAATGTTACCAATTTCTGCTGCCACTAAAGGTTCAGTAGATTTATCTGTAGGTATTTTATTATTGTTATTTAATTCTTCTCTTTCTCCCAAAATTCCTCCATTACTTTTAATTCCTTTTTTATTATTAAAAATTTGTTGAAAAACTGAACGTTTTTTATTTTCTTCTTTTTTAAATGGATGTTGAAATAATGTTGGATTAAAAGAAGAAGAGTCTACATCTGTTCGGCCAGCTAAATTTCTAACTAATTTGACAGATTTTCTGTAAGCATCTGATGGTGGGGGAGCATTGGCGTATTCTTGCGTGCCTTTCCGTAAATGTAAAGGAACTTGAAAAATAAATAAATGAAGAAATTTTTTTCGATGTTTCTTTTTTGGAGGATTTGTAAAATTTAAATGACGAAAAGTTTAAAAGAAATTTTCTTTTTAATTCGAAAGATACATATATGTAAATGCTTGTTAAAAAGATTTTAGCAGCAAAAATAAATTAAATATCCCAAAGTGGGATGCAACCAGGGGTTTACTCAACGATTCGCTATTTAAAAAAATCTCACAATTGTGTTCACCCTTCATCCCAACCTACTAAAAAATTACTTTAATTTATTATAATTTATTTAAAGTTTAAATAAATTTTAAAGAAATAACCTTCGGTAAACGAAATAATTCCAAATATTTTAGCTATTTTAACAGATCTACGCGTTAATCTTTCACCAAGTCTTCCTCTAAAAAAGATAAATTTAAAAGAAAAATATATGGGGGTTGAGAGAAATTAGAGGATATTTATGGGAAACTTTTTTTTATTTTTATGTAGAATTTCTCCCCTATAAGGCTTTTAGTTAATTTTAGAAGGGGAAAAGAAGTTTATTTATTTAAAATTATGTACCTTTTTTGTACCCCAATAACAAAAGAAGAGGCAAGTGTCCCCATACTTATAACACCTTTAAATTCATTTTTTAAATTAAAAAAAAATAAATTAATTTTCTAACCAATCATTCCAAGAATAAACCTTTAAAAAATGAGAAATTAATTAAAAATTAAATATATAATTAATTTAATTACCAGCCAATTAAAGGAATAAATGTGGAAGTTGTTGGCATTTGATCGCTAACCTTTAAAGGAATTCTTTTTTAATTTATATTTATATTTATTTTATGCCAACCATTAACATTAGAATAGACATTGAAAGAAGTGTTGTAATTCCTAATGATACCTAGAAAAATATTGAGGATAAAGATTGGAGAATAATGATTTGGAAAGTTGGAAAATATATGCTTAAGCAAAATAATTTCAGAACTAAATAGAAGAGACAACCCCCAACAAATTATTTATTACCTTTTCTTCACGCATTCCGCTAGCAGATGATGTACTGCAAAATTTAAATTAATTTTTAATTCAATATTTAATAATTTAATTAAATAATTTACGTAAAAAATCCAACAATAGCAATTAAAGTAATAATTGCTGTAGGTATAATTAAGTTGATTAAATAAAAGAGAGGTTTACGTCTCAGATATCTTTAAAAATAAAAATAAATTTAAAAATAAATATGTAATTTAAGTTTATTTTTATTTTTATTTTTTTTTA